GTGCATCATGGGAGAGCGTCAGTGATGGAGATTGGCCAGTGTGATGGCCCCTGGGAGGTCTGGGCAGTGCAGCTCACCTACTTACCAAAGTTTCCTTGACTCACCATCTCATTGAGTCAGTGTCGGTCCATTGAGTCACTGCCGAGCAGAGATGCAAATGTACTGTAGGAGCTGTCTTTGTTCCCACAGAGTGCTCTGATTCCTGGATGACAACCCATTATCCACCCCCCCCCCCCCACACACATGTCCATGCTGTGATACAAACCATCACACCACTGATAGTATGGATACACATTTCCTTCCTCCTCCAGGTGTTTATCAGCAAGCAGAACATCAGCCAATGAACTCAAGTGGTGTGAGACTAGGTTATCCTCTTTCATTTCTGCTCATGGTTTAGAGGTGATGGTGCTGCTTTAGGGGGCAGAAAGCACAAATCCAGACCAAGACTTTGTTCCAACCAACCAGTTGAGCATAAAGAGTCACATTCACAGAGTACTCAGCCGATTGGTTGAAATAAAATCTTGGTCTAGATTTGTACTTTCTGGATCTGAACGTTCCACCTCTGCCTACAATTGAAAGCAGGGTCAGTCAGTCCTTGGAACAGTCGGGGGTTAAAGGCCTTACTCTAGGGGTCCAGCAGAGAGACCACTTACCCCACCCTGGAATTTTAACCAGCGATCTTCAGAACACAGGCACAGCGTCTCCATCCGCTGGGCCACAGGTGGTGTTGCAGTATATGCAAAAGAAAACTTGCAGGCAAAGGAACCCACTGATACAAATAAAAGTACAGAAGCTATTGTATATGGGTAAAACTGTAGGCTCAATACTCAAATAGCCTAATAGTCAATGTTTGTTACAGAATGCCTAATGTAATTGCAGAGGAAAGCAGAATGTTATACAACGATATCAGGATTATGAATAATAAAAATTCTGTGGTTGTTATGGGTGATTTTAATTTACCTTGGATACAGTGGGACAGAGTCTCTGGCTCTACTGTAAATTATGGTGGAATTGGTACAGGATTGCTTTTTCACTCAGTTTGTTAAAACCCCTACCAGAGGAGAAGCCATTCTCGATCTTGTATTCTCTAATAACCAGGATAGGATTGGAAAATTTGAGGTTTTAGAACCACTTGACAGTAGTGATCATAACATGGTTATATTTGGGGTTACTTTTAGTGTCTGAGGAGCAAAGTCCAAAACAAAAATATACAATGTTAGGAAGGCTAACTTTAATGGTATGAGACTGAAACTGGAAAGCACATTATTGCAAGCGCAAGAGGACTTCATACCTGTTTCCAGCAAAATTAAATCTAGGAAACTGCCACGAAGCTGGTTTACTACAGAAATTAAGAATAAAGCCAGGAGGAAAAGGGCTCTGTTCCACAAATGAAAAATAACTAATGATGTTGGAATAAAGCAGGAGTATCTAAGTGTACAGGTTGAGTTAAAAATAATATTAGACTCACTAAGAGGAATGCAGCAGGGATTTTAGGAACTGATAGCCAGTTGTTATTAGAGGCACAATGTCACAGTGGGCCTGCGTTCATAGTAGGGTACTTCAGGGTTCAATTTTAGGACCACTGTCATTCCTAATTTACAGTAACTATATTGACACAAATATATTCAGTAAACTGGTTAAATTTGTGCATGGTGTAGCAGATACTGAACTAGCAGCACAGAGACTACAGTGGGATCTTGATTTAATTAGTGACTGGCCTGATACCTGGCAGATGAAATTTAACGTAGACAAATATAAGGTAATTCATACAGGGAGCAGAAATATAAAGTACAGATATTTTATGGATTCCACTGAAGTAAAGATAGCTGATTATGAGAAAGACCTCAGTGTGTATGTTGATGCTTCCATGGTCCCACTCTCGCCAGTGTGGGGAAGCAATTAAATAGACCAATAGGATACTGGGTTACATCTCTAGGTGTGTGGAATTTAAGTCAAGGGAGGTGATGCTAAGATTATACAATTCCTTGATAAGACCCCACCTAGAATATTGTGTGTAATTTTGGTCATCTTATCTTAAAACGGACATTGCTTCCGTAGAAGGGGTTCAACGTGGGGCTACAAGAATGATTCCTGGTCTTAAAATAATGTCGTATGAGGAGAGGTTAGCTGAGCTAAATCTGTTCAGCCATGTGCAAAGGAGACTAAAGGGGGACATGATCCAGGTATATAAGATTCTAACAGGTATAGATGCTGTTCAACTAAATAGCTACTTCAATACTAGTTCAAATATAAGAACTCGTGGTCATAGGTGGAAATTAGTTGGAGAACATTTTAAACTGGACTTGAGAAAGCATTTCTTTACACAGTGTGTGGTTGGTCTTCCTGTTTGTGTAGTGCAAACTAAAACCTTGGGTTCCTTTAAATCAGAGCTAGATAACTAACTCTGAGCTATTTATTGAGTTCTCCCCAAACGAGCTTGATGGGCCAAATGGCCTCCTCTTGTTTGTGAATCTCTTGTATGTGTAGCCAACAGAACACTGTCGGCTATGGTGACGGCTGTTCGCTGATTGGAGCCCCCCCCACCTCGCTGAGCCATAAGGATATAGAAGCTCTTTGAGTTCCTCTGGGTTCCTGAGTGTCACCAGGCACACAGATGCTCGACGGGGCAGGAAAAAAGGACGGGAAGCCATCACAGCCTTGAGATGAAGAGGCGATCTGAGGATACCCTGCCTTTCTGTGAGAAGGCCACCAGGGGGCCCCTATGGGTCACGGTGAGGGGCCACTGTCATTTTTCTCATTCCCCGCTGTGAGATTCATCCTCATTGCATCCAGGGTCGGACTCAGGCACTGGGAAACAAGGCAGTTGCTCGGCACAGGGGAGCCCAGACAAAGTCATGAAAAAAAATGCTCATATGTACAATTTATATTATAAGAATAATTACACAAGATTAAGAGTAATGTAAAAAAAAACATTTATTCAAATTAAAATATTTGTGCAGGCAGAAACATGGCCACATCTAGATATATCGAAAGAATTTGTAGTTGCCTAGGACCCCGAATTATGTGAATCATCATTTTCTTAGAATGGTTTAGCTTTGTCTAGGGCCCCTCGAAAGTTAGGTCCGACCCTTACTGAATCACGCCCTGAGTGCATTTGTGCTACTTGCGGTATCACTTGACAGAATGATTGAGCATGACTGATAAAACTCTGCTAATTGGCAGTGCAAGCCCTTCACTTCAGCTCTATGCTGGCCTTTCAGATGTGCTTATCGAGGGTGATCATGACTGACTAAAATCCTGCTGACATGCTGGGGGTTGCAGAGTGCTTAATTTTCACAGAGCAGTTTGAAGCCATGGCTGCCCTCCACCTTCCTGTCAGCCTGCCCTGACCTAACAAAGCTCCGCCTCCCATGGAGGGCGGAACTTCACTTTGCAGCTGTCAATTGGCCGATCTGCCCATCAGCCAGTTTGGGTTGTCTAATGTGATTGGGTGATTCTCAGCAGGATGTGAAGGGCATATATAAATGATTTTGCCATTGAATACGCCACGTTAAACATTTTAAATAGATGTTAGCGAAATGGGTTAATGTATAGTAGAGACAGATGGTCTTTAGAATTTTCCATTCCAATTATGAGACTGAGTTATGGGAGTAATTGCCAGCGAGGTTGCCAGATGTGGATTTCGATTTCCTGCAGAGTTTGTTTAGCTTTGCCTGTGTGTTGAGTGAGCGGTTCGGTAATGACAAACCCTGAAGACTCAGGTCCAGTAGATCCTAATGGAGTGATACATTAAAGGAGAGTTTCCATGTGCTAATTACCTGCCAGAAACAATAATTAAAGCTGTATCGACCCACACAGCCTAAGATTAAACGAGGAGACCAGCTAATCATCCCCGCAGGGAATCAGTGGCATAATTGAGTGATGATTCGTTATGGAGCACTGATGAACAACCCAGGCAAAGTACCACGGATCAGTGACAGTAATTCCGTCTTTAATTAGACCGCCATTGACCGGACCTCATTCACCCCCATCTCCCTGCTCCGTCCCACACTCTGCCTGCCTCGCTGTGCTGTGATCGATCCAGCTTTTGCCAGTTTCCTGTCAGCTCTTTGACTCCAGAACCTGGGGGGTGGGGAGGTCACGCCACAGAAACCCGTGGCTGGGGTTTGTTGCCATTTGTAAAGCTGCATTTCCAGGTTGGTGTTCTGTAAGGGAGGGTGGAACAGATGGGCAGAACGCATGGATGCTGTGAGGTTGGGTGGCAGAGGGACGCCTCGAGGCCCCTCCCCACAGAAGGCCATTTGGCCCAGATTGGCTCATGTGAGGCCTGCCCCCACCCCCCCGGGGTCACAACCCCTCCATCCTAGTATCTCCACTAAAATTAAACACCCTGTTTTTCCTCCCTGATCCTCCCACGCCCAGGCCCTGATCTCCGACCAATGTCACAGGAAAAGCTCCACCCATTTTCCAGGGTTTTACGATTTGTGTTTGGTCTGTGTGCTGCGCATTACATTGCATTTAGTTTGGCATAGCTTGTAATGAATGACTGTTTGAAGTCTCACCACCACCCCAACCCCCCGGGAGAAAAGCCTAGAGGTGCCTCCCCCAAGGTGTTAGCCATCCAATGGTTGCTGTCCTGGTTTAATAGTGCTGGGCGATGATATTTGCAACAATAGAAATGTTGTTTAGTTGCTTGGGACTTTGTGCATCCAGTACAGGCGTATGGTGGGATGGGATTCACTGTGTCTGTGTAATGATGAATTCTGCTCTTTAGAAAGTGGCTTTAGCTGAGGGAGCCTTGCAGAATCCATCTGGCCCATTGCATGGTAAAATACCTGTATTGTCATTGTCAATCCAGCCACAAGATTTGAACTGACAACCTTCCGATTATGGATACTGAGGCCTAGCTCCCAAAGCCACACACCTCTCTGTACACGCATGGCCTCTTGCTGTTCATCGCATTTCCATGACTTTGCTGCCGTTCCATGAGAAAATTAGAGGAAAATTATCCCAACGTGGCCTTTGAATAAGCTTTCGGATTTGTGTCATATCAGTATTTTATTTAAAAACGTTTTTCAGTACTGTAACTACTTACAAAAAGCTAAATAAAAAATCTTATTTTATTTTTAAGTTTTAAATTCATTTTATATTACAGAAACAGTGAACACAGATGCCTAGTCTGTAGATTGGGCGTACCATAGATGTATATTTTAAGCAAATAATATCTGTTCTAAAAAGAGAGATGATGATTTATAATGATGGTGAGCAGGGGTGGCCCACACCAGGCAGGAGCAGAGCTTGTCACGTCCCAGGCTGGAATCTTAATCATCCCATTGAGAGTAGTGTGGTGCAGACCCTCATTTGACCTGCAGGGGGCACTGTACTGTCAAACACTCCATCACTTCTGGTAGGCCACCTTTCCTTTGGGGAGAAAGGATGCTGCCATGACCATATTTCTATCTCACCTAGCTGTCATTAAAACAATCTGTTTTACATTACATATATATACAACATATATATGTAAATGTTTTATATATTTTTTTCGATATCTACAATTACAGAGATACTAATATCAGTGAATCCTTGTTGGTGCCAGTTCTGAATAGACCATGCATAGGTGTTTCTCAGTTTCTGGGTCCCATACTTGAAAACACGCATTCTCTCGGACAGAAGAGGCGTGTCATTGGTGAGCTCAGTGGCCAATCACATTTGCTTTTACTTGCATGTAAACCACCACTCACCCATCTGTCTTCTACTCCCCTTTCTCTTGAATCCCTCACTCTCCCTCGCATCATGCCCTTCTTGCACTCCCCACGTTTTTTAAATCCTCACACGTCTTTTAAATCCTTTTTGATTGAAATTACACTGCTTGGCCAAAAAAAGTCACTATTTAATCAGTACGTAAGAACCAATGATTGTCTCATTATTACAGCCCAGCAATGTTATGCTACAATACAGTGAAGTCAGCTGAGTGAATCTACTGAATGGCCAGGTTGTCCCATCAATGGATTTTTTCTTTCCTAATGGCATGGACATATTTCAGGACAATAAGTCCAAGATTCATTGGGCTTGAATTGTCAAAGGTTCAGGACCATGATGAATCATTTTCACACATGAATTGGCCACCAGAGAGACTTCACCTTAACCTCACTGAAAGTCTTTGAGATGTGCTGAAGAAGACTTTACGGAGTGGTTCAACTCACCTGTCATCAATACAAGATCCCGATGAGAAATGAATGCAAATCTGGATGTTGCGATGTTGCATAAGCACGTGGAAACAATGCATTGGCGAATGTGCACCATAATCAAAGCTAAAGGTGGTCCAACGAAATATTAAAGTGTGTGACTTTTTTTTGGCCAGGCAATGTAGATTACAGGTGACCGTTGCAGATATACTGGCATCTGATGTCATTGCCGCACAAGGATCCATTCATGTTGTAAAATATCCTATTGCATATATGGGCTAAGATGACTGTATGTCTCACGGTACTGCAAGGACAGCGCTTGACAGGAAACAGAGTCTAAAATGGCAGAAAGTTGTGTGTGATGAAGCAGCAGGGCGGTTCCTCTGGACGTCACTGGAACACGGTGTGGAAGATGGGGCAGCGATGGGACTTCATGCGCTTGATGGCGAACTTGAGCTCCTTGCTCTTCTTGTCCCACTTGTGGATGGTGGTGAGGAGCATCTGCTGGCCCACACGGCGGCCCATGATGAGGAAGCTGCCCTCCAGGCTGTCCAGCTGCGCGCAGGTGCAGTCGGCGCCATTCCTGATGCGCAGCACCAGCTTCTTCTGGTCTTTCCTGCGAAGCTCCCCCGCCTTCAGCACCTTCCACTTCTTCTGCGCCGCGATCACCTTGCGGTCGTTCCTTTCCTTCTTAACCTCCTTGATCTTCATCTTTAGCGCTGGAGTGGAGATAAGGTACATTAGTGACCTTCAGCCCATGCTGTGGGAATATTGTGGTGGCGCCTGCCTGTGCGTATGTATGGATGGATGGCCGCAGTGTCCGTTTTACAAAGGTCCTGTGGTTGTACTGCACTGGACTGACTCCTAACGCTCTATTTAAATCATGCAACTAATCCAGATGTTACAGCCAGTTCTTTTGGAGCTCGAAATGAGTATTACTTACAAAACGTTCCTCGCGTTCCCAGCGAATTAGTGGGCCTTTCACTGAACCTGTCTTTCAGGCAGACCACTAGCTCTCCGTGTGGATGTGTGAAAGCCTTTCATTCTGGCTATGTGCTGCGGCTCTGCCTTTTTTTCAGATTTCCCGTCTTTGCTATTGGATTCCAGGCTCCCTGCTGAAGGTCAGGCGACCGTGTAAATATTATATCAACTGTGAGGGCCTGAGCACCTCTGAATGGGAAACAGGGGCGCACTAGCGGTGAGCAGGACCCACAGAGACGCTCGCTGAAACTCAGTCTGCTGGCTCCAACAGAAACCTCTTTTGCAGCTCTCAGCAGAAGGTCCCTTGAAGACCGTGGAGGGCTGCACAGGGGTCACCTGAGCCCTCCGACAGGCGCCCGTCCTCATATGCAGCTGAGATATCTGCTGAGTCGGCTTTGGCCCTAGATAACCACAGCTGTGAACAAAGATACTGAAAAAGGGGCTCCGTTTATCAGCCCATGCTCTCCCCCCGCACCATGTAGTGGTACAGGTCGAAGCACAACTGTGCAATATAATTTAGACAGGTGTAACAGGGTAGGTGGGGGTGCTGAGATCTGGGTTCATAGAGTATAGCATCTATTCTAAGAGGCAGAGGAATGAAACGACTGGACGGAATGCCCTCGTCTGCCCAGTAGTGGGACGGCAAAGGTCCATCATATTGATGGAACAGTTTGAGTAGTAAATATTCATGATTATTCTGGAAGGTGTGGACCTGTGACCAATGGTAGGGATAGAGCAGGTATGCAGGCTGAGTGTTTCCAGAAGTTGGCTTTTTGATTGTATAAACCATCACTCAGAGCATAGCCCTGGGGGTCTGCACTTCGTCCAACCGGAGTGTGCTTCAGAGAGGTTCTGATTGTCCTGCCTCACTAACGTTTCTCACTAATTAGTGATTTATGGCGTTCAGTCATTTAACACCGCAGGCTTTCAGCGTGCAGACCTGGGACCCATTTAGCTCCAGTGCTAATAGTGATGTGTGTATATACTGATTATTTGGAGATGCTTAGCTCTGACCTAATGATATGTGAGACTTTTTCTGACGACTGCTATCATGGGAATGAGAAAGGAGCAACAGGCTGGATTAACTGGGATGTAACGCAGTTAGACTTTATCTCCGAGATCTCCAGGTCATGCTCAGGGACGGATTCCAGTCTTGGGTGATGGACTGCTAATGACGCCTTGATTTGAGGTGGGCCTGGAGCTTGTGAGGGAGAGCTACCTGCAAACCTGTCCAGAAAAGGACAGAAGTGGTACCATGTGTGGGAGTGTATTCAGAGGCCCAGAGCCAGCAGGGGTGGTGAGCGGTGGTGCCCCCACATAGCAGCCAGGAAAAGCCTTCACTGGGGGAGGGTGGTCCTGCTCTGGCCAGACAATGCTGCAATGTCTGGGTCCAGACTCCTTATACGAATTGACCCCAGGGGGGATCTGGTTCTGATAGCCTATACACCCTGTTCCAGTTCTGCTCCCAATCAACCCCCTCCTTTGCAACATTAACAGCCAATAGCATTCTAGGCCTCAGCCACCAATCTGATGGTAATTTTTTTCTTCTCTTGCCTGTCAGCTCTCACTAGCCAATTAGATGGGCCAGGTATCACCAGTATGATCATCACATCTATTGACAGCTGCAGTTTATCTGCTATTGTCTAGGAGAAAAAAAAAAAAGATTCTTTGGATTTTGTTCCTGCTTAGAATAACATTTTTGCCAATTTACTTCGATGTGGACAAACATCACAGTCAATGCACAGGGGGCTTAGTGATTGATGTCGCATTCAAGAGAGAGCGGGGCAGACCACAAAAACCAAACAGCGATGACGCAAAGCAGGCTCGTTCTGAAAGGAGATCAGGCACTGCATGTGCTCCTTCTCCAACCCTGCACACTTTACCCACAACATAAGTCACACTGCCCCCTGTCAGGCTCCCTGAGAAATTACACCTACGCTCCATTCACTTTATGTCAAGGCTTCATCTATCATGGCTCCTGAGTTATAGGCAAACGTCTTCACGTCCTGGTATGTACTACAAATAACCTTTCACCATATGTTTTAATGTTATTTATCACTTTTATAACCTACCAGAAGTGTTTTCTAATATACCCCGTGGGAGTAAGTAACAGAGTCTTTCATCACACAAATGATCGCACCGGTCATCTGCAGGAGGGCTGTAGTAGGAAATCAGCAGTAACTCCACTGCTTTTGGCTGCATCACTTGCACTGTCATCTTACACGGGAACTACTTTAGGGGCAGTTTCAAGACTGAACCTTTGGGGGTGGGGGGGGGGCAGTTGAGTTGCCACTTTTAGGGTTCCCAACAATAAAATTTGCCGGGGCAGGGGGGGATGTAAAATTTGTATGGAATGTGCATGAAAGTATGCGACAAATCGCTAAATGGATTTAGAAAATAATTCAAGTGTGAGAGTCTGAAGAAGATGTCATCCACTGATGTGAAACAGCGTAACTTACTGGTACCTGAAAAGCCAAAACACACCACCAAAGCGAAGTACCAGTGTCAGTGTTGCTGTCACATGCGCCGTGTCACGTTCAGTAGGCATGCCGGGGCATGTCATGCCAAGGTGCTGAGGAATGGAGTTGCCCTCTAGCTGCCAGGCAGGTAAACCTGACAGGTTCCTCTGTCTGAGAGATATTATCTCTGCTGTGCAGAAACCCTGTTCTGTTCTTGTGATGAGTGGTTGGTGATGTATAAATGCGAGTTATTTCACTGCTGATGTGACGCATGGAAGTGAGACTTATGTCATAAGGACGCTCTTAATTCATTTATTTTCTGCATGCTGTACTTTACTGCCTGTCCAGTAGGCAGTTCATCTTTTCCCACAGTGCTAAACATGATTTATAACAGCAACACTCAACTTCATCTTTTTATCTTTATGGCTGTTAGCGGAGCAGTCTGCAGACATTTCTACAGCCCTCCGCTTTCTTCACTTTGGGAAGTCCACACAAAGGACCGATTGTCTTTATCTCTGGATATTTCAAAGAGCTTCTCTCAGAATGATTAAAGTTTGCATATGAACATCTGATAACAAAACGGTTTGTAGGACTTATAAGGAATTATAAAAGCATGTCCCAAAAATCAGCCTTTGGACACTGAGGAAGAGAAATAAATAAGATAAACCCAGTAGGATGTCTTATTGTTCTTTTCACACTATTCGTTCTTAGTTTTTGGCCGCTGGAATAGGATGATTAGTAGGTCAGTAACTGTTGTAGCTTCCCGTCTATATCAACCTAACTGCAGTGAAAACAAGGAGCTGGGTGATGGAAAGCTGGTACATTTCGGTGAAAACTGTAAGCCATCAAAAAGTCTCCTTATGCTGCTATTATTATTATTACTGCAAAATAACACTAGCAGTTAAACAGACTCACTGAGTCACAAAATGCATAACTGAAGGCTCCATTGATCTGATAACTTAGACAAAAAATGCTGGGGGCATGTCGCATCTGGTTGACTTACCTCAGCCATTTTGGACGCAAATGACAGCAGTGTCTCAGAACTACTTCTCCACTGGGGGTCAAAGCATATCCCCCTGGTGTATTCATTTATAAGCCAGAAATGAAGGCTGAGTAACATCTTTCAGTGTGTAAACAAAGGCTGGGTAACATCTTTCAGTGTGTAAACAAAGGCTGGGTAACATCTTTCATTGTGTAAACAATGGCCACGTAACATCTTTCAGTGTGTAAACAATGGCCAGGTAACATCTTTCAGTGTGTAAACAAAGGCCGGGTAACATCTTTCAGTGTGTAAACAATGGCCGGGTAACATCTTTCAGTGTGCAAACAAAGGCCGGGTAACATCTTTCAGTGTGCAAACAAAGGCTGGGTAACATCTTTCAGTGCGCAAACAAAGGCTGGGTAATGCCTTTCTCTGTGTAAACCAGGGGTGCTCAGTTGGCGGACTGACATACAATTTAATCTGGACCATGCAATGGATTCCCACCACGCTCAACCAACCACTCACTGGTCAGCAGAGAAATGTACTGGTGTGGACCTTCCCCATGTTTGGTGATATCTACCCCCCCTTCCCCACAGGAAACTTTTACTGGGGGCAGTGGACCTTGGATTAGTTTCGCTGATGGAATCTGGACCTCATAGAAAAATAATTGACTACCCCTGGTGTACACTATGACTAGATGACATTTTTCAGTGTAAAATATGGCTTGGAAATATCATGGTATGTAACGAGGTACATAAACTGTGTTGTTTGTGTTACTGTCAGACTCTCACCGAAATCAGAGGCACAAAAGTGATCCAGGATGGTGTCTGTCTTCAGCTCACTGTCACAAGGTGGGCAGACTTCGGAAGCTGAGGGGAGAGGAAGGAGTGAAGTCAAGGTCACCATTTTGAGGTGCATCTGTTACATCCTATTAAGGAAGATGCTCTGGACAACATTAATAAACTGATGTAAATTTTCTTGAGTAAGTGATAAATCAGAAAGTGTCTACTATATGGAGTATGTAATAAACAATGGTAGATGGCAGTTACTTTTTGTCAGTTTCAACTTATTTCACGGAAGATTGTGATTCTTTTTGAAAAAATGGAGGGGAACCAATTATTTTGGCCATAGTTGTAGATGCAGAAGGAAGTAATTTGTGCATGTCCCGTTTTTAAATGTCTGCAGATAACATAAGTTTCTGTTGTGACGGAAAGATTTGTGTGTGTATTTCTGGTAGATCGCAGCGGGATCTGTCTTACGATGGAGCCAGCAGGCCTCCTGTTGAGTTTTAGGGTTGTCGAAATGTTGTGATGTCCTCACCTCCTCATGTAGCTTTGCTAACATGCAGGCCTTGAACATCCTTAGGTTTGGACGGGTATAGTAGTAGAGGGCAAACAGTTATTAATGATAAACGTAACTGCCATGTGGAGAGACTCAGCAAGTCGTGGTATAGAAATGCATGGGACGTACTGTAGCTTGTTCATGCTTTAAAGCAGCAGCAGATACTATCTGTTCCTTCGCTTTCTTCTTCATAATACTGATATGAAGCCTAACTCAAAGAAACAAGGTGAATTCAGCCTTGTCTCTGTTCCTCTCATGCAGGTGACAATATGGGCCAATAGGCAGCTAATGGAGGTCGTTCTCAGGTCTGGAGAGGAGTAGAGGATGCAGAGAGGAGGCAGTCCAGGAAAATGGTGCTGAGATTCCTCCCTGAGAGGTATCTGAACCCCAGGAGCTGGAGCTGGGCTTTGGTGTGAGCTGCAGGCCATCTTCAACTTGGCAAGCAGGTAAAAACCCTTTACATCTCAGTCCTCTTGCCTTTATCTTAGGAACGGCTTGGGAATGGGACTTTAAGTCTGTGATCTACAGGGGTCATCATCTGGATTTATGGCCTGAAACGCGTTAGGTCTTCCAGAGGTACCAACAGACGCGAAGAGAAGCAGAGCTGGATGCCAGGGGACAGAGACACGTCACTGTGTTGCTCTGATGAGCATAACTCACAGCCATCCTCTCCATATCTTGCCTAGCTGGAAGATCTTCCCTATCATGGCAAATTTCACTGGTGATATCCGGTCCTCCTCTAGGTGTTATTTACAGTCGCATGTTGCCCTAAAACCCCAATAATATGTGTTCTGTGTCCTGTCCGGCCCTGAATAAAGTGTAACATGATGCCACGTCTTCTCCTCTGGCCCTAATACAAAAGGCACACAGAGATCATGCATACGGCCCAGTCATACCCGTCAGGCAGGCTTGCTGTAACTAATACGGCATCTGGCACGGCGGTGTGGACGATGGCACTGCCAGGGAGTGCCGAGGAGTCGTGAGACTTCAGTCTTGGACTGTGAAGGCCCCATGGGGGTAGAGGGGCATGAGCCGCTGGCACGGGATGACCACAGCCTCCGGCGCTCTTTGCGTTCCCCCGAGTGAGTCTGGAATGCTGTGAAACCTGGCTCGCACATCTACACTAAGCAAGGTAGCCACATGCCATGTTTAGGTCTTGAGGGCTTGGATCTCTCTCAGTTGTTTTGCCGGTGGTGGTGGCTGTAGACATGCATGTTATGTCTGAGTCGGCCATCATTCGAAAGGGGCCAACTGCCAAGATGGCGGACTGCTTGGAGGCGGGCCAGTGGACCTGTCAGTCACCCGGTGGCCAAATGGTGGTGCCCGCAGACATTAACGCTCTTGCTTAACGTCCTCCAGGTGCTATGTTACAGTATGGCACTTTCAAGGACCAGAGGTACACCCAGCCTTGTGTAGGGTGGGGAAGGGCAGGGAGATGGGGGCAGGGCTTTGGCTGGCTGATGGAGCAGGGTGCAATGTCCCCGTCACTGAACTCTCTGATTCATGCTGCATGCTCACACTGCACGTCCCTTTTCCCTTCCTGTTTAATTGCACATCTAGAACCTACACTACAGAAATTTTTAAGGCACATTGGGGGACACTATTTTCCAACCCAGAATGATGGGCAACGATACTTAACATAAAGCCTTACTGCTCCTGAATAAAACACAGCGTGTAATTTATGTCATGAATCTGAGTAACTGTGCCGTTTGTGCAGAAAGATAAGGTCGAAATGGTCCCCTGGCCTTCCACGGTGACCACTGAAAATATGACGCCTATTACCGTTGTAGGAAGCCTTATAAATAAAGCTAGCAGTTTTATGCGGCAAAGTGAGTGTAAGTTTAAGGTAAACGAAGCAGCTGGCCTCTTGCTGCCTTCTGCGGCCAGCCTGCTTTGTGGTTTTCACTCGGGCTGTCCAGCAGTAGCTCTACAGCAGCTGTTAAGCTTGGGGGATCGCTTTACACAACAGTGTAAGGGAGCCACAAGCAGTAGTGATGGAATGGGCTTTATGGAGATTATTTAAGGAAGGTCATTTAGGACACAATGAGTGAAAAGGGAAATTCTGTGAGGTACATCTATTCAGTAAATGAAGCCCCAAATCAAAGGCTGGTCCTGTCTCCCAGTTGAAATGCAAACGGGGGGAGTCTCTCTAAACTGAACCACATACAGAACTGTGCAAAAGTCTTGGGCAGTCGTGGAGAATGATGTTTAAATGCTCTCCTAAGTCACCCCAATATTTGCACCAACCCATATATATTCTGACCCACCCACTAGCGCTGTCTTGTATGGCTAATCTATACCTCACTGACTTAAAGTCATGAAGTATTTAAATACATTTATTAAGTGAGGTTCTAATAATTTGGGTTCCCCTGAGGACAGGTTTGGTACAGTAACAGGTTTGGTAACTGAAGTAGTGTAACTTTTTGAGAAAAGAAGAAATTAGTTAGTTTTTATTGTGTTACTCTCAATATGCATATATTCTTTTGTTAATTTGTGTTTTTTTGTTTTGGGCAAATATATATTTACTACCCAGATAAATAGCCTTAAACATTTCCTTTGACTGCCTAAGACTCTTAGCGCAGTACTATATGTGACCAGTTTTCTAAGCATGATGTTTGGTTAATCGGATCTCCCTGAGGCTGGGCTGGAGCAGCACATAGAGCAGAGTTCCCTGAACATCCCCTACAGGTTATTTTTCTGTGACCTTCTCACTGCCCCAATCAGAGAGTCTGTTGCCAGTGTTCACTCCTCACTTTGTGCATCTGACATTGAATTTCATCTGTCTGCCTTAGTTTCTGCGATGAATAACTTCATCCAAAATTAAAGCGTTTGTCTCTGTCTACTAAGGCTTGATCTTTTTTGGAATCAGAGGCTGATGACTTTGCTTAGCAGCCTTACGTGGGGCTGTTAGTCAGTTCCCTCTATAATCCATGCTCTCTTACTCCATGAGTCTGTGGATTCATCCTGTCTTCTGACATGTATGATCCCATGTCCTACATGCACGCATAACCCCGTCTTTAATATATACACAGGTAGAAGGCTCCTACATACATTTGACAGATGGCAGCAGAAGAGGCTGTTCCTTTCTGCATAACATCCTAGACCCTGAGATGTGTGTGTCTGCTGGTTTGTTTGTTCTGACGTACGTCCAGCTTTGTCGCAGTGTGATTTATTTATCTTCATGCTTCTTTTAATCAGGGTGACTTACAGACCATATGTGATACCATTTGTGTATCGTGAGTCTAACCTTTTATTTCATTGTGGATGCCTGTGAGGGTCTCTATGTGTGTCCTTGTCCCATAATACCGTGAGTGCCAGGCCAAAAGGGAGACCCCAGTCGCCATCACACTATGGCATTCACCCCCACCCCAAGTGCCCAGCCATTTGTAGGCACTCCCCCGACTGTACTTTGCCGGCTTCCTACACCCACTTCCCCTCCCATCTCCCTGGCACCCTATTGCATCATCCTGCCATGCTGACGCTTATTCACCTTCCTTACTAATTAGCTTCTCGGCTAATCAGCCACCGACTGCCAAGCGAGTGAAAGGACAGAGCAGCCGTGCTCACAGCTGGATGTGTCCCCTCCACATTCCTGAAGAGATTTTTATAATGAAAATAGAGCTTTTGAAAAAGCCATTTCTATAGAGCCAAACCCTAACTTAACACAGAAAAAAACGGAAGCATTTTCTCTGTTACTACAAAACTACACCTATATTGCCTATAATTAACCTGTTTCATATTCATACAATGGTCAGAATAGTTAACAAGTACAAGCTCAGTTTTAAAACTCAGAATATGTGTAAACTTAATAAGTATTTTTGATTACTGGTCACTCCATAAAGATGAGGTAAAATATCCTCCTGAGAGCCGACCTATTCATTTATGTCCATTGTAGTGGACATTGTATTTTTGCATTTATTTTTTCACTGATGTTGGGAAACATATTTATTCTTGTTGTGCACTAAAGAGGACATGCTGTGAAATTAAAATAAGAATAAATTTGAAAAAATCTAAACTGTAAGATGTCTTATTTCCTCCAAAGACAAATAACCTACAATTGAAGGACACTTTTTTCCTTGGGTCTCAGGAGGATATACTGCATATGAAGTAACTTTAAACCCACCAAACCCGACTGATTCACTGTGGATTTGTGAGGACTTCAGCTCTGCAATGAAAGTCTTGTTTAAAATGATCTAATGCCCTGAAACGCGTGGTGGAAGCTCCGCTCTTCCCGCACTCACACTGATGCCTTAGGAACACCTTCCTACAGGTGACTTATCTGAGCACCTTTATGAGCTCCGAGATTCCTCACATATCTTCTTATATTCCTGTGTGACGGAGCAAGTACCTCACATTCAGACAGGGATTCTTTCATGCCCCCCCCCCCCGGCAGGGTATCTGTACCTGGAGTTGGTGCCACTTGCTGGCCGGCGAACTGCTCAGGGATGCAGAGGTCATTGTCATTGGGGAACTTGTGGCACTGCAGCATCTCGGGCCAGGGGAAGCCGTATGTCTCCATGACGGGGGCGCAGCTGTTGCGCACAGCCTCGCAGAGCGAGCGGCATGGGAAGATGGGCTGGTCCAGGCACACAGGCGCGAACAGCGAGCACAGGAAGACCTGTGTGTTGCTGTGGCAGCGCTTGGCCAGCAGGGGCACCCAGCTGCCGGCCTGCTGCCGCACCTCCTGCATGCTCTCGTGCTCCAGCAGGTTGGGCAGCCGCATGCGCTTGTAGCCCACGCTGTGGCACAGCCGCAGGTCGGCCGGGATATCCACACACTGCGGCTGCTTGGCGTGGAAGTGCCCGCTCTGGACGTTGTCTGCCTGCCAGGTGTAATAGTCGTAATCCTCGGCGGCCCAGGTGAGGAGGGTCAGGCTTAGCACCTGTGTCAGCAGAGCACCGCTTCGCATGTGCGCCATCTTCTGGCTGAAGAGCAGAAAAATGATAGAAAAATGGAATTATTAAAAAAAAAAAACTATGTGCGTTTGCAGCAGGCGTTGGTAATCCCGTCAGGGACAGAGCTCTGACTGCAGCCCCGCTGCGCTCAGGTGCTTTACAGACTCTCTGCTCTGTTCTGCCAGGTCCTCTAAGGTTCACCTAGTGTATAAGAGGCAGCGGAGAGCTCCGACTCCCAATGCCAGCCCCCTCTACAGCCTGGTGCTAGTCTCCTCCTCCCACTCCCCATGCCCCGCCTTCCTTATTCCTCCTCCGACCAGTCACACCGCAGGGAGGCGTGGCCTCTGCCTAGTTGGACACTCCCCTCCCCCAGCCTGCACTACTTGAGTCCGTCACAGGCTTTCCTGGAGCACAATGCTTGCGCAGGCCATCGCTCTGCTTATTCTTTTCTCTCTTCTCGTTCTCACAGGCTGACTCACAGGCATTCTCCTCTCACATAATCCCCCTTTTGCCTACAGCCCCCCTCCCGATTAGGAAGTAAACGGTTTTAAAATGAAAGGGTTTCACGGCGATGAGGTCCCCGGCAGCCACAAGCTAGCCTATATGAAATATGCTAATGTGGCTCCTGGCCTGTGAATGGCTCTGACCCCAGCTCTGTCTCTTTCCATCAGTCCCAGTCACACTGAGGGGCCCAGGCCCGGGCGTGCGGGGGCCCGACCGCAGGGGGCCAGCAAAACGGGCCTTTTCATGGCACAAATGCCGCAGGGAACTTGCTTTCGTCGACAGGTAGTTTAAACATGCTGCCCTTCCTCATGACCTTGAGTTTCTAAGGAAGTCCACTGTGGTCAGTATGACGGGCGTGTTTTTAATCTGTGACATTGACAGTGAAACTAATTTCAGCAGTTTATACTTATTCAGGGTTTTCAAAAAGGATGCAGAGAGGAAAAATTATTTTCAAGTAAAAATTAAGGAATAAAGTTGCTTTTCTCTGCAAAGTTTGTCTGCTTGATCCTGCACATATTCGCATTTATGTAACAGTCTGGAATGGTAAGTCTCCTGAAGTCTATAACGCCCCCTACTGACAGTGTTGTCAGTCTGCAGCATCAACAGGATACATGTAGGTGACTTTGAAGGGAAAACTCGACCCTGGAAGTTTGGGAGTATAAGCACACATTTACATTTTTTATACATGGCTTTGTATGTATATGCATTACACGGGTGCCCAAGAAATGAGGGCAAAATAGCGGCGAGTCACCATGGAAACAGCGTAGCCCCCATGATTGTGCTGTAATGTTTTTGTTGCTTGTTGACCAGTAATACAGTGCAATAAAATAGCGATAAGGCGAATGGGATGTGTAGCGTTCCTAAAGCACTTATTAACCAAGGGCTACAGAGGTTCAAGCTGAACTTGATTATAACTAGGGGGGGGGGTGTAATTCGGTGGATTAACTGTCTGTATGGTCAGAGGGTCATGGGTTGGAGCCCCAGGCTTGGTAGAATCGTCACTTCTCCAGTGGGCCTTTGAACAAGGCCCTTATCCCCCCCCCCCCCAAAATTTTCCTGGGTGCCAGATAAATGTCCTGACTCTGTGCTCAGACCAAGATTCACTCTCAACTGTATATATGTGCTTGTGTCTCAAAGCAGCGCTAGATAGGTTATGTGAAAAGCAGCATTCCATTGCACTTGTACAAATGGCAAGTAAAGAATCGTCTCATTCATTCTTTCTATTAAAATTCCATAACAATCAAAGTAACCTGAATTGGATGTGCAGACCGGTCTTGGTGTGGTCCCGCACATCCTTTCCTGCCCTAGCTGTGTGTTTTTGTATGGAAAAGTCTTTGAATGGTTGTGGCCACACACAGCATTGATCAGGGCATCGCGCTGGAAAGCCAGAGATCTGCTGCCAGCCTCGATTTAAATCATGCGTAGCAGGGTGGTCACGGACACAACGTGCGGCCACAGCTAACATGTCACACGTCTTGGGCCCTGCTTTTATTGGCGTCACCGCACGAGTGTGGAAACAGTAATTACCTTTATGCACATATTCACAAAAGTGATATTCATTCATGCATGCTTCCTAATTCATTCTAAAATCACAATCTACAATGCAGCATTATCCCTTGCGGTACAATGCCGCATTGGAACGGGATGGGAGGCGTTTCCTGGAAAGTGCTGTTAGGAGCAGGTTGTGGTCCTTCTCACAGCAATCTTCCTGCAGGGGGCGGTGTGGGGCTCAGCAGGTTAGGACACTGTGCTTGAGAGCAAAAGGTCACCAGTTCAAATCCCGGGACAGGCACAATGATTTCGCCATTGGACCTTAACTTCTAATCGCTCTATAGGTTTTCTGAACCTGATTTTTCAAATGATGTGTTCTGTTTTGAGTATAAGCTTTGGAAAAATATAAAACATTTGGAAAAAAAACAAGTACATTCAGCTCTTGCACATAAAGTTTCTTTGCTGTTAACAGATCATGATGAGCTGCGTTTGGTTGTGTTGCCAGCGTCTCTGTTCCTATTTAGCGGTAACTTTGTGGCAGCATTTTATGGCCCGAATCTGTAGGAATGTACCGTAAATATGATGTGAGCCTGGTAGGATTCAGTCTGATAAACTGTTGGTTTCAGCACAGTTTCTGGCTAAATGTTTAATTTTTCTGTTAGAACAAAATGATGTATTCCAACAAAATCTAATCAAAAGCTCTGCAAATGTCTCATAACAGTGCTTTGACATGAAATGAACAGTGATGCTTTATTAAACATGAACATGACAGTGCTTTCTATAGATATATATCAAAAATAGTCTGCGGTCTGGCCAGGCTTTAGACGGTGACCTTGCATGTGGCGAGTAATTAGATATGGTTTTATGCAAAATGAATGTTCAACATCACAGTCAGCACCAGTATACCAGGGACCTCATAAAGCAACGGTGGGTTTTATTGAGCAACCACAATTTCATGCTTGCTTCCCAACTAAGTGCTGTTTACGAGCAGACTTGGTTTCAGTTCAGAGTACAGAATGCTAATAAACTCCGTGGGAAATTACCCAAAGGATCACGACAGAGGCCTCCTGCTTGGGGTCCAATGGACTGTTTAACAGGCACCATCTAATCATTAGCTCTCCTGTGAGGTAAAAGATACAACCGTGACTCCCTCCTCCTATCCACACTGCCCTACAAGGCAGCTCTTCAACCTTTGCTCCAACGCAGCTCAATGGCTTAAGTGCAAATTATCAATAGGCTTTAATCTCACTTAGCAGGGTGCGGAATCTTATTAAGCTGAATGATTCAGATGGCTGCGTACAGAGAAGCGAAACCTCTTTGCGTCCGAGCCAAAGCCACGGAGCACATCGAGCACAGTCAAAGCGGGGGCGCTGGAAGTCTTGACTCTTAACTGCTTGATTAAATCGCACTGGTATTGCTCGTGACAGGGAGCACAGTTAACAGTAAAGGATATTCGTGGTGGAATATCTGATGATATCAATGAGCGACAGTGTGCCACAATTTTAGCAGTGTTAGGAGGTGGTGCTGTGCATCTGTGCCTCTCACTGAAAGATCGCCGGTTCTAGCCCATCCTCGGTAGAATAGTCACATGTCCGTGTGTCCTTCAGCAAGGCCTTTATACCCCCATCTGCTGCATGGTGGCCACCCCTTCACTGTGACCCCCAAGCTTGATTTCACCTGCATTAGGGGCAAGAATTTCCCCATAGGGATTAATAAATCTCTATTCTAATAGGAAGAGATCCTAATGCAGCAGCACATATATATCAACTAAAGCTTCATTCATTTTCCAGCTAAATATATATTAGCAAAAAGAACATATTGTCATACTGATGATAGTTGATTATTAATATGAGGCTTATTAAGAAGATATCGTCTCTTGCTGCGTCACGTTGGTGTTTCCACATGTTGGAATGTCACTCAAGGGTTTTATCAGCATGTCAGGCAGTTATTTAGCACAGCATGTCTCAGGGTAGATGGTGAAGCGCAGATCACAGCTGAGACCTCAGTGCCATGTGTAAAAATGCTGAGCAGCGACGCCTGAGACAGGATTAGACGCATTTGTCTTGTTAGCATGTTTTACCGTCACCCCCAGCCATGGACGTGAGTGGGGGCATCTTCCCAAGCACCAGGCTGATCTCAGGCCTGGGCTCCTATGGGATAGGGGCCTCTGGCTCCCTGGGGTGCTAAGGGGATTATCTTACAGAGCTGTCAAAACAAATGAGACACAGAGGCTAAATGCTAATCCCTTATCCTGCTTTAGAGAAGAATTTGGACCACTTTGTTTCTGATCTAATGCCAAAGATACCATTTCATATTGTATTTATACATCAAGCTGTAACAATGGAACAAGTTATCGGTGCTCTATGGGGTATTAAAGTTAAAGATTTCATTTGAGGATTTTGTTAGGAATTAAATATAGTTTTTATTTTCTTCCTTCCAATGATGAGTTTTCTTAGAATTTTTCCCCACTGAACACCAAAGGATGAGCAGCACGGTGGTTCCCCACGAGACCCCCACACATACAGTAAATGGCACAGACCATGGAAGACATCTGAATAAGGGGGGCGGGGCTGCATAATTTCAAGGCAGGAGTGGGGGGGGGCATATTCACTGAAACAGGCATGTGTTACTTATGTATGACTACAGAACAATTCAGGCTTATATTAATAAAGTTTGTCAGTTTGCATTGAATTATTTGTAGATAATTTCTTTCGTGATTGTACATCACTGCATTGTTAAGGATGCCCCAAAAGATACCCAGGCACAGTTACCTGGGTGGTCCCCCTGATTCCACAGTCCATGGAGAATGGAGACAGGGTTTGATACACACACACACACACACACGGGCTTGTAATTATATCTTTGTGCGGACTCTCTATTCATTTCTGTGGGAAATACTCTAATCCCAACATGACCCAATCTTAACCATAATTAACCAAACAAAATACAAGACTTTTGGCATTTTTACTTTTTTGATTGCATTCACAGATCTTTGTGGGGACTTGAAAAATGCTCCCCAAAAAGCAGATTTTTATTACAATGTAATATAAACCTAATCCACACACACAAACACATTTACGGTAGACTGGATTTCCCATCTGCAACAGCGATAGCTTGCTGTTTCCACAGTGGCACATTTGAAGACGTGCGCAGTATATTTCTTCAGATGTGTGCATCTCGTGTTGTATGTTTTTCTGGTGTGTTAAAGGTCCATAGATAGGGATT